CGCGAGATCTGGTCATGGATTTTCTCTAAGTCCACAAGGCACATTTACCGGGTGTACAGACTCACGATTTCTTTACAATCAGGCGTAGGACGAATATCATGTAGAATGTGCTTCGCCCTTACCTTAAGGCACGCTGTCTTGTATCTTAGAGTCAGCTATTCCGCGGCACCTCCTTTCTAACACCGTTGAGGAGACATGACCAAGGAGGCTCAGAGTAATGCCCCGATAAATGGAGCACTCCCTCTGGCCTTCTTCTTAAACATGAGTACTGCAGTTGTCGTTTTTGAGTCAACTGATGTCTTTCGCCTAGCCGTTGCAGTTTCGCACACAGGTGTTAGCTATAATATGCCTTGTTCACCTATAGATTTACGAATTTCATGGCGGATTTTAGTGCTTCCAGCAGCCTTGCAAATGTTTAATTTTTTTGCAGCTTCTGTTACTTAATCTACTGAAGGACTAGTGTTTTGCGTATTGCTGTTCACACCAGTTTTCCTGCAGTTGGTCGCGGTTATGGAGTTCCTCAGTATATTCTCTCCATCGCCGAAGTATGTCCTCATTTTTTTTAAGAGGGCGTCCCGGCTTGTCTCTCTGGGCCCTTAGACTGCTTTTTTTTCATCTCGGAGGCGGCGTTTTATCTGCCAGAAAACCGTCGCCCGTCTGGAAATTCGACTCCAGCACCTGACCGAACTTTTTCCAGGAATCTGTTTTCGGTGCCGCTTTGCACGCTTTTTGGTACTGCATTCCAGTTGAAGGATCTTTGCTTCAGGCTGCTTCTTGAATGCAGTCTTATTCCCGCTGACATTCAGCTGTATCTCTTGTGTCCTCCATGAAGTTCGTTTCTGTGTTCCAGCGAACGGCCAACCCCAAACTTAAGCATTCAACGACATCCCCGTTAAGCCACTTCTAAACAGCTTTCACTCTGTTTCCAAATCAGTTGCATTCACTGGCGCAGTCTGTGAGAATTCGGTGCGACCAATTGGGTGCGAGCCGTTTCGGCGCTGACCGATAGTCGTTGTTAACGCGCAGTTATTTGGCGCGAGTTTGAATTTATATGATTGGACTGTGATCATCTCGATCAATTGTTAGCCTAATTCTCCCTATTAAAAATCCATGAGAAGCGCTCCGTGAGCACAATGCGAAACTTCTGTTAAACTACTGCATTTCTGAGATTTTCCCTTTTATTTTCTAATTCCATATTTTTGCCTCATTAATTCAGCGCGTGCGGTCGCGAGGACCGTTCATTCCAGTCACGCCTTTCCACTTTTCAGCGTTTATCCCGACATGCGCATTGAAATCGTCCATGAATATGAAGAGATCCGTATTCGGCACTCCATGCAGAGCATCCTCCAATTTTTCAAAGGAAGAACTCATATTCTCCCTCCAAATTTGGCGCATAGACCTGTAACAGATTCAGTGCTTTGACCTTTTGTAGCTTCAGTCAGAGGATTCTATTCTTCCGCTGACAGGCTTCGATTCAAAGATTCAGTCAACGAGGTTGGGTTGTACTAAAACACCAATACCGGCCTGAGCACGCGTCATGATGTCCACACCTGAGTAGAATAGCTTCCACTCGCTGAAGTTCAGAAATTCAGAGCCGTGGCGCTTCGTTGACGAGAGTCTAACTGTGACGAGTTGGAACCTTGCAGCCTCATAAACTTGCTTCTGCTCTTCACCTCTGAATGTTCAGATTTCTGACTGAGCTCCCACTTACGATGTCGTTTACGTTTAACCTTATCTTACTTGTTATAGTGGCATTCGATTGTATACCTCCTTTGCTCAGAACCGGTAGCGGTTTTGTTACTGACTTGTATCTTGTTCGTCTTCTTGTCGATCGTCGACAGCTGCCTGAGTATTATACGTCCTCATGTTACAGAAGGTAAGAGGCGGGTTTTGATGCCGACTTCTGCCTCAGTTCCCTGATAGCCTGGAGGTCTGTGCGGCCTTTGTTAACCTGGGCAACGATCGAGCTGGTACAGCGTTCGATGAAGACAGAGCGAAAAGCGACAGGTGGCTAATTTTTATCGGATACTTCGCTACGGTTTTTGGTCTGTTGTATGTACAATTTCTTGCAGTAGTTGTATAGTCGTTTCCGGTTAAGTCTCTGTTTTAACTTTGATTATTTGCAGCGTAATTCCTATAACTGAATAATGCTTATTCCTTCTTTGTGCTGATTAATAGAGTTCTTTAGTGACTATATTTATGTTTATTTATCTAACAGCTTCCAACTTTAGTGTTGCCCCTTTCGCCTGTGGCATGAAGAAACAGAGTGAAGAAAAGCAATCTGTGGGGATGGGATGGGGGAGTACAAACGCAGCGTTCTTTACACATACCAAACTAGGAATTACTTATGAGTGAAGTAATACAACGTACGAAGTAAGCATCATCAAATGATAGAACGTCGAATACCAAGATGATGGTTCGTAACATAGAAAAGAGGCAAATAACAGTCAAGAAGTTGTTGCATTAAAATGCGGAAAGATGAAGTTATTATAAAACGTATCGTGGTTAACCGACACGTCGCCTTGTTTGAGAAAATAGAGAGGAACACCTGAGAACAACAATACCTGTCGAGAAATCTAGGACACTGCTCATTAGTAGCTAGTGTATCTAGTATCAGCTGTTTAAGCGGCGCATGGACCAGAAACATGAAATGGTTGCTCAACACGAATGACTGGCGTGATTTCCTTAACATCATCGGTTTAGCTGACCAGTATAACGTAGTATTGGGTCTGATTCAATAATCCTCTGAAGATGAACCGAGCTTGGTCCTAAAATTTAGCTTGTAATGAAAGTTTGTAGGTGTGGCATTTTCGTTTGTTTCATATTTAATGGTATCATATTATGTTCGGGTATGTGTTTATGTGTTGAAGGTCACATTGAAGAACAGTAACTATGGTTTTAATTAATACGACAAATAAGAGCTTACGACTTAATAGATAAATCGCGAAGACATCTCCTTTGATCACTGTTCAATCAAACATTTGAGTCACATGATTACATGCCGACAAACACGTGCTGAGTTTTTTTTTTAAGAAGCGCCATTGGTCCAAAACAAATCATTGCTCTTCTCTCAAACCAGTCGAGTTTATCTTGTGTGCACTCTTCGTTTTGTTGTTGCTTTATCTTTTTGTTGCTTAGGTTCACAATCGCCTTAAAGACAGTGGTAAAGCTCGCCGAAGGTTCGCCGTCACCGGAAGCGTTATTGGCAGTGTGATCATGAGCCCTCTTCTGGCCTCATTGGCAATAAGTAAGATGAAACACGGGGTTGCTGCCTTTCGAGCTGCGGTTGCATCAAGTTTTAATGTCAAAAAGTATTCCACTACAGTATGACTGTCTCGGTGCGGATTGACTACCGTTTAGGCTGGTTAGTACAGGCGGTACAGTGTTCAGTGTGGCAGTGGAAAATTTGTGGCTTCAAGTCACGTGTTCATTGAATTTTCCTTTCGAGAATGAAATATGAATACCACTATTTGTGAGAAGGAAGCAGGAGATTAGTTACAGTGTTATCTGCCACAGATGCTGATTTTAGTTGTGTAGTTCCTTAGTTTTCATGGATTGATGTATGCTTCGACTTGCACACAAGTCCTTGATTCCTAATACTGTCTACTTTATCTCTGACCGCTAAATATATTACTTTGAATTTGGTTGCGCATAGCCTCCTGTGAAGGTCAGGTTTTTGTCACTTGCCTCTTATGCATAAGGAATGGAACGGCTCCACTGAAATAAAGAGTGAGTACCTCGATTGTTTCAGGGTTTCCCATAGTCTCCATGTACCAGTTTGAATTAGAATCGTATAGCCAATTCAGTTCTAAATAGACAGTCGTAATCCGTATTAGTATTGAATTCCAGTACCTTTGCATTTTATAGATGAGGTTCCAGCTGTACAAGATTGTGATTTTCAGGTCTCCAGTGTTAGCTTCGGCTTTTTTCTGCGTAATAGCGAGATATTAATGTTTCCTACTGCTGGACGACGTAATCGTTAGCATTTCTGTTAAATTTGATTTGCATTTTATAAACTTAAGTGCACGACCTAAATTCTGATAAACAGTATAAGTTGCTCGCTGCTTTACGCCGTAGTATGTCAGATTAATAACAGACAATTCGAATATCAGATTCCGCCCCTTTGCTTCTAGTTGCCTAGACGATATTTAAGCAAGACAGCTCCATGCTATGTGAGCACATGCGGTGTCAGATCCGATCATCATTTTGCCCATAATTGCCACATCGTCCTCATCATGAACGGCGTTTTAGGGGATGGCACTTTATATATGCTACAAATATGGAAATATGTCAAATATCGAACGGCTATTCCAAGACCAGATTTCAGCTGCCGAATGCCTGCTCCTGAAACATCGTTGTTGATGGGTATGAGGTGGCTCGAGCGGACAAAAGGATGCAATATGCGTTTGGCATTATTGGTGTTCAAATGCCATGGAGCCGTGGTCTGCTTAAATGGCCCTCTAGGCATCAGGGGAAATGGGACACACCGTGAGACTTGGTCTTGGAGGAATCATTCGTTATTTGATTAAATTCTTGTTTAGCGCACATTTGTAAGATGCTGTAGGTACTGAATTGAGAAAGTTATTCTTCGAAATTTGGAAAGGTTTGCCTTTCTAACAACCGAGTTTCAGCAAATGATTTCAGACAAGTATTTTTTCCAGATATACTGACTTCCTTGAGATACTATTACAAGAGAGAGTGAATAAGTAAATCCTTTCAGTTGATCTGAAGTTTTGTCTGGTTTGCGTGTTCTACTGTATTTTAGGTGTTGGCGTTCCGATACTGTTAGCATATGTTTATGGCGTCGTACCATTGTCGCTCTGTCGCAATGGGAGCTGCGGTGTAACGGCAAGTTCAAGCGGCGTTCGTCTAGACCTGGATGACAACATACTGGCGATGACAGGTACCTTCGCTTGTTAACTTTCCATTGCCTCCCATTTAACCACTCATTAAGCTCAGTTTCCGCGTAGCCGTCTAATAGCACAGTAAGCTGCACTCATATTGTGCTTCTTTTCGGCAACGCAACATAGAATCACCTTATGTCGCGCTTTGCTTTAGTCCTGATGTGTTCTCAAACCGCTGGTTCTCTGCATTGTTCATTCAAGTCTCTACTTATTAAGTATATTCACAGTGGCAGCTACTGGCCAAGGTTTCTTTGAAGCCGCCGCTGGACAACCTCATGGTCCGCTGCGCATTTGACCGTCTGTATATCGATTCCCCATACATGTGCTATGTTAATCATGCTGCGCTGCTGCTCAGGCATTTTGTTACGTCCTGAACGTGTCTACGACAAATGGCTGCGGGCTTCTTAAGTAGTTCATTATTGTACTGATGCGACATCGCTGTCTTCCAGTGGACTGAAAGAAAGATGAGCGAGCTGATAAACTAAAAGGCGGTCGCTAGTGTTCACCGGTCCTTTGGTTGCGCGATACACACAACGAAACTTGCATATGATTGGGTTTCGGGCATGGACATAGTCCATTGACTTGACGGTGAATCCACCATTCGATATCTATTTCCTGTGGTAGACGCCGAAACTAGCAACCGACAATCACAAGACTTTATCAACCCGTCGTGTGGCGGAGGAGTAGGTCTTCTGGAACTACGAGGGCAACAAACCCAATTGGATATCTTTGTGGCGGAGGAAACATAATTTGTAATAACGATGTTGACGATATCGACCCCTCCTTTTTTTGATCTTGTGGCGGGCGTAGGACTGTTAGGAGCAGTAGACGTTATTGGGTTGCGACAAAGGACACCTCCCTGTCTACAACACGTGGCGGCGGATAAAGAACAGTTTTTAAAACTGTAACTACCCTCCCTTCTTCCAGGAGACCAGCAGTTGCGCAGATGAACAAGCTGGCTGTATTTTCATTTGTATTTTAATTTTCATAGCCAGAGCACCAAAGATCCTATTGAACCAACGAATGCTTTGAAACCCGCGCGGTTGTTTCTTGTTACGACGTTCGTGTCACTCACGATGACGAGGATGTGATGGATAGGCCCTTCACACGAAGTGCTATCTATGATGAACGCATAAAATCATAAGTAACATGGATTACGAATCATGCCGCATGTTCTTTAAGCGGGGAATGAAACGGTTGATTGGTAGGCGGAAAACTGTTGAACGCGTGGTTCCGGTGTCCACTTCAGGTTGAATTTTGTTTCACACAATTTGTGCCATCGCCAAATAGCATTGTTTAAAGGCAGATTCTGTTAGCGCATTTCTCCGGAGTGTTAGTTTTGTAGTAATGAATGGGATCGGCTGCTGCTTGCGCTGATATCTGATGACATTCGATAACGTCTTCCGTCTTCCCAGAACAGTCCATTGTAGTGCATTCGCGACTTCCTCTTGTCACCCTATTGATGAACGCTTATACAAATATTAAAAATATGCGTATCTTAATTTTAATGATAACCTATATAATCTTTATTTCTTAATCGTTTGATTTGGCGCCATGTTAGAACAATGCCCTTCGGTTTTTTTATCCTTTGAGTGCTGCCTGTTTGCTTCTGAAGTTTTCTTAAGAATATTTTATGATGTTTATTGTTTGCCTCACTTTGTAAAGAAGACTGTGTTTGCTGTTTAGGAATGTCCGATTCATTCCAGGAAAAGATGCAACTACTGCGAGACAGCGACAAGCAAGAATTGACGGTCAGTAGCGGCTCGCGAGGATCCAGCGAACCGTCGAAATGCAAAATGCAGATCCAAGTTGACGTCTCTGGAGCGTACCCGAAACGACGGTCGAGTGCTGAGTCAGGCACAACCAGTTTTGGTGAACGACTGAATTACGAGGAAGCTAGCACGAAAGCGTTGGCTGGATCTACTTACTGCGACGATAAGGTAATATTTTGTCTCTGCCGTACTCTCCTTGCGTCTGCTCCCTCTTGTGCTTCTAATTCTCAATAATTTTTCCCTACTGTTTGTTAGTTTTGTCCTGTTCTTCCGTCTGTTAGGTTGTCTTTAACGTTTTCGAGAGAAGGATTATGCCATTCTAGGTTGAGTTGTTCTACTGATCTGAAGCGTCTGTAAGTAAACCGATTTGACACAAATTACGATCATATTCTTTTGACGATCATATCCGTTGTTGATGGACATTAACTCTTCGATGCCCAGAAAGTGATCCCCTTACAGAAAGTGATCTCAGCGCACTTTAGAACAAGAAGCATGGTGAACGCCTTCCCCAACCGCACGTAGTTGTATCGTCGTTCATTCGTGCCTTTTCTCTGCGAGTGTCTCGCAGAGTAGTTTGAACAAAAGCATTTTGTTATGCATATTTTTGGTTCGCAACGTTCAGGGAAGTTCCTTTTTTATAAGTATCGCATTGTCATTCACATTACACTATAAAAATAGCAACTGCTTATTCCAAGAAAATAGTCTTTCTTTTCTTTTTATTCTGCATCCTTGACGCTTTCAGTGATACTCAGT